CCTCCCATCTATCGGAAAACTTTCACCTAACAATTTGCTGGTGAAAGCGATACGAACGTTCGAATAGGATGCGTTTAACGCTGGGATTAAATTAGATTTCCGATTTCAAAGATAATTTTTACCCAGATATTTTATGATTTTTTATAATCATTTACCTAGATATTTTATGAATATATTTCAGACATAATTTTTTCTCTCACAAATTTATTATTTCATATAATAAATGGATTAAATAATTAGTTTCGGTTTCTAGCAGAACTTATAATAAAATCAATAATACTCTTGCACAACTTTAAATAAAACATGAAAAAAAAAAAATTTGCTCCAAATTTTTGTGTATTCTTAGCCATAATACGTTTAGTATAATTAGTTTCCTACGGAACTTATAAAATCTATAATAACGACTTTAAATAAAACGTGAACATTTTTTCTGTTCCAAATTTTTGTGTATTCTCAGCCATAATATGCTCAGTATAATTATTGCCGTGTTTTTATTAACTTGTATTTTAATTACCTCGTAATATTTTCAAAATATTTGCAGAAAAAAATGGAATTTTCTTCTTTACAAAATTGGTGAGTTATAACTGAGATTAGTGCATAATAAATAAAAAAGATTACTATAACTAAATCGTATATAATATAAATAAGAATTACTATAAATTGTATACTTATTTTTAATCCGCTATGCAATTTCTATCAGAGATTTGAAAGAACTAAAGCTTTTAGAATATGATCGGTTTTGTAATTTTTATAAAGTAGTTGATTAGTTTAGATGCATAATTAAGAAGCATAATTTCATTTATTTTCACTTGTCTTTTGAGTTGGGTAGAATACAAGTGGGTAATAAAAAGCATGGAATATGAAGAGCGGATTTTTTTTCTGTTCATACTTTAAAATGCGAAAATTTCATCTTTTATTTTCAAAGACAAAAAGATATTTTTACTCTTATATCTATAATGCCAAAATATATTCGACAATTTATTTTTTGAAAAATTATGTATTATTTTTAAGAATAAAATTTGTTAAGATTAAGATTAAAAAAATTCTAAAATCACCTTTTTTAAATTTTTTTTGTTAGAAATAGCATTAAAAAAGCAATTGAATAAGAAAAGCGTTTTAGAGTTATTTCTTAATCTTCTGTTGGACATTTGATCCTTTTAAAATAATTACTCCTTTAATAAAATGGTGAATAACAAATTTTAAGGTGGAAAAAAAAAACTTAAGCATTATTTTCTTTTCTGTTTTGAGATTATCCATTAAGTATCAGCTAAGTTATTCTCAAGATATTCACTTATATTTATTTGTTATTATTAAACTAGTGTTATTATGTTTTTATTCAAGTAATACTTTAAATTATCTTAATGTATGCGATTAATTCTACTTCAAAAAGTTTTTTTCGAATTTATGCGACTTGTAAAAAGAGAGAATTTCTTTTGAATTGCTTTAGCATAGTTCATTTATATACAAAATGGTAAATCATAAGAAAAAAATATCCTGCGTCAATCAGAAAAACAATTGAGAGAATTTTGTTATTAAAAATGTGTGCAATGAAAACTAGTTGATATTTGAATCGAGCTAAACTACTAACACGAATTCGTAATAAAATAAAATCACGAATAATCCTCATGGCTAGACCATTTTCCATTGCTGTATAATGGAAATGTATAACTAAAAGTTCTAACAAAGTTCTCACGACTTGGCACCCTTGTCTTCTGAGTTGGATTCCATATAAGAGCGTAATAAAAAGACCAGAATATAAATAAAGAAAACTTTTTTAATAAAATTGTTTTTGAATTAATTGTTTTAAAGTTGCTAATAAATATAGATGCATAATTAAGAAACCTTTTTTTATTATTTATTTCCTTAATTTTCATGTTCTCAATATTCCAAGAAAAAATTATTTATATTTCTAGTCTTATAATTATGACATCGAAATATACTCGAAAATTTGTTCTTTAAAAAATATGTAATATTTTAAGAAAAAACATTTTTGAAATAAACATTGAAAAATTTTATTAAAAAAATCACGTTGTTTTAAATATTTTGTTTAAAAATTGTACTAAAAAAATTCTAGACTAAAGAAAACTTTTTAGTTATTTCTTAAACTGTTGTTTGACATTTGAATTTTTGAAAATACTTATTGTTAGTATTACAAGTTTTAGGGAGAGAAAAAACCAAGCATAATTGTTTTCTCTATTAATTTTTTTTAAATTATTAGGTAAGTATTAATATTTTGCTAAGTATTATTAATTTTTAAGTATTAACTAATATATTCTGTTTTACCTGTATTCATTGGTAATTATTATACTAGTCCTTTTTTGGTATTATTCGAATAATATTTTAAGTTATCCTCATTGATGCAATTAATTCTAATTCAAAAAGTCTCTTGCAAATTTATGTGGCACTTAAAACAAATATTTTTCCGAATTACTTTTTCATAATTTATTTACATGCACAATGGTAAACGATAAGGCAAAAAAAAAAAATCCAGCATCAAATATAAAAGCAATTGAGGATATTTTGAAATTGAAAATGTGTTTAATTGAAAGTATTCAAAATACTTGTAACGAGTTAAACTTTAAAAACGAATTTGTGATATAAAAAAAATCTCGAACTGCCCTTATGGTTCGAACGACAATAGTGAAATTGTGTAACTAATAACTCTAGCATGAAATTCTTAAATGAAGTACAACTACTTGGCATCCTTGTCTTCTGAGTTGGATTTAATGTAAGAGGGTAATAAAAGGCAAAACATTAATTGCAGAGAATTTTTTTCCAAATCTAGTTCAATATCAACGATTGAAAATACCATTTTCAAAAAAGAGATAAATTATTAAATTTGAAAAATAAATATTGCATTGTTTGAGTTGCGAATTGTAATTTATTATAAAAAATATTATAAAAGAGAAGAAAAAAATGTTTTCTTGAAAAAATAACTTACAATTATTAAATTGTATAAGTTTGCAATTGCGAAAAAAAGAAGAAAAAAAAGAGAAATCATAACAAAAAAGAAAGTGAAAAATTGAAAAAGCGGTTTCTTTTAAAATTGTAATGAAAAAATTTTTTTCAGATTATTTAAACTAACAATTATTTAAAAAATGCTAGTTTAAAGTTTATTTCATGCATTCTACCTATTTATTAAAGCTTATTTTGATACTTATTTTGATACTTATTGTAGCTTTAAAACTAAAAGAATTTAGTGGTATAAAGTATAAAGCTACACATTTTATCAATTGCAGATGTTAAAAAAAATAATAATTATAAATAATAGAAGGTAATAAAGTAATCGTAAATATAATAAAATTTTATAAATAATAAAATAAGTAAAGATAGAAAATTGCAAAATTTTGTGAAATTAAATAACCTTTATTAATCATTAGTTCTTTAAATCTAAAAGCTCTCAATAATATACATATAATTTCTAAAGTTTCATAATCTAGTGATAAAATTTCTGAATGACTCAATTATATTTATTTGAAACAACATTCAAAGTATCATTTTTAGGAAAGGTAATAAATAAAGATGTATTTGATTTGTATTATTTGATGTATTATTTGATGTATTATTTTTTATTTTAAGAATCTTTCTTTTTTCTTGGCAAACTGTTAGTAAATATAGTTATAAGTGAATCGATTCTCTAATATTAAATAGAATAATGCAAACAAGTTTAAAACGAATACTGCATATTAAATTCTTGAAGAAAGATCAAAGATTAAAATATGTAGGTATTTATTTTAGACTATGTATGTAATTGTCAAAATGAAAGAAGAATACATTCTCTTTCTGAAAGAACACTGTAAACTCTGGGATAGAGGTCACGACCCCCAAGCGAAGGGAGAACGATTAAAGGATAAACAAAAGCCATTGGTCACTTTCAGATAACTATCGATACAAAACGTCACTTCCTAGGGGGAGGGTCCGAACCTTTGAGGGCTGGGATTCCCTTCACCGCTCTCTTCGGGAGTTGCGAGGTTTGGGGTCCTTGTCTTTTAATCCTCAGAACAAACTCAAATCCCTCTACAAATTCTTCCAAGTCACAAACCGCTTCTGACTTTTTGCTGCAACCATCTTCAGCTATCAATTGGGTATAATATAAAAAAAACACAACTACTTCCACTTAGTAGGAATAACATTTACCAAGACGCAATGCTAAATTCTATGCCACTATCCACATAAATGCCACCAGCCACATTAATCAATTATTAATCAAAAATCGAATATCAATTACTTTTCTTTATAATGCAATAAAATCTGGAGAGCAGATATTTAAACGATCAAACACTTCGTTTGTTTATTTGTGGCTCGAAGTTAGGCTCGCAGAAAATGCCGTTCATGGGTTAAATATAGTAGGAATAACACAACCTATGACGTAGACTATAGTATACCATGTTAATGGAAATACAGAGCTATAAGCTAGTGCACAGAGCTCGTCGCTCCCTTCCTCAAACAATCAATCAATCAATAACGTTTGAATTGTAAACATTTACATATTTTAAAGCTTTATTTGAAACTTTTTGCTGAAAATACTCAAGATATCCTCCCCTAGTTAAAAATTTAGTTCAATTAAAATTGTCTTTATTAAAATGAATGTGAGATTTCATTTTAGACAATTACTATCGCTTTCAATAGATTAGCCGAAAAAAGATACTTTTAAGAATTCTATAATTGTTTCACCTCTTTCTCGTGTATCTACTTAAATCGGTTAATTATTGATTTTTATAAGTTTCTAGTATTTAAAGTTTATTTTTATAATATTAAGTTGGGTTATTAATCATATTTAGCGAAATAGTATTGCTAATTAACTTAATTACTTTTAATTTTGAATAGTTCTTGTAATGAAAGACTAAAAAAAACGTTGACAAAATATATGCAACTTTCTGTTATACGGAATCTCTTAAAGAAAGTTCTGATTATGGACTTGTGTTAAATAAATGATTGGGATTTCATTTGTTGAAAATAGTTAACTAAGAAGTTCAGATGATGATTTTGATTCCTGAAAAATGATAGACTGTGATTCTGAATCGAATTCCATACAAAGTAAATCTATTCCAAGTGAGGCTTCTACTTCTGTTACTAACAGAACTGTTAGCAATCACTTAGATCAAACAAATGATTGTTCTGATGAGGATCTTGATTTATCAGAAATGATAGACTATAATTCTGATTCAAATTCTGTGCAAACTAAATCTTTGCTAAGTGAGAATGTGGCACCTCCTTCTGTTAACAGTCACTCGCACAATTTAGTAGATGAGTGCTCTGATGATGATCTTGATTTATCAGGAATAGATGACTTTGATTTAAACAGTTCTAATTTAACAAAAACTACCATGTGTTTTAATTCTTCAGTTAATGTTCCCTCACAAGGTGATGCGAAAGGTAGTTCAAATGATGATCTTGATTTATCAGAAATGATAGACTATGATTCTGATTCAAATTCTATACAAAATGAAGTTTTGGCTCCTTCTGATAACAATCATTCACAAATTCTGGTAAATGATTGTTCTGATGATGATCTTGATTTATCAGAAATGATAGACTATGATTCTGATTCAAATTCTATACAAAATGAAGTTTTGGCTCCTTCTGATAAGAATCATTCACAGAATCTAGCTACTGATAGTTCTGATGATGATCTTGATTTATCAGGAATGAATGACTACGATTTTGAAGATGTGAATTATAAAACTACTGATAGAAATGGACTTATAAATGGAGCACCTATTAAACAAATAAATACTTCTGATTCCATTGTTCCAGTGGCTAAAAGAAGGGGGAAAAGGACACTTGCTTTTAAAAGGAACATTTTGAAACCGGCTAATTTTAACTTTAGAGATATGAGAATACTTGAGGCAGGAAACAATCAGTGTCTGGTTTGTAAAAAGACTTTTAGACTCAGAAATAAACTTCTGGCTCATTTTGCTGTTCATCCTCCTGAAAATCCTTTTTTATTTGATTTATCTAAAAAATCTGATTTTTTGGATGCTAAGATGAAACCTCCTGATCCTAAAGAGATTGAAAAGAAGCCATTTGCTTGTGTTCTTTGCCCTAAGCGTTTTATAAACTATGGTCAACTTGAGGCTCACTGTAATGTACATACTGGAGAAAAATCATATGTTTGCAATATTTGCTCCAAAGCATACAGATATAAAGTCTGTCTTAAAGGACATGCAATGTTGCATTCAGGAAAAGCGCCATTTCAATGCCTTGTGTGTAACAAAAGCTTTTCTAGGCAGCAGAGTCTTGATACTCATTCTTTGATTCATACAGGTGAAAGGCCTCATGTTTGTGACATATGTCATTTAACTTTCCAGAAAAAAAATCTAATGGTTATTCATTATCAGTTCCATACAAATGAGTTTCCATATAGATGCAAGAAATGTGGACGTCGATTTCGAATCAAGCGTTATCTTGTTGATCATTCTGCAACACATGAAGAAATGCGTTATGCGTGTGACCTTTGCCCCAAGAAATTTAATCAAAAGATGTGGCTTCGAAAGCATAAGGAGTTGCATGATGGCAAGAAACTTTATGAATGTCAGTTATGCTTTAAAGCTTTCAAAAGAAAAGCAGAACTAGAATTGCATTTGTATCTTCATGCTGGTCAACAACCATTTGTTTGTGAAGTTTGCCTAAAAAGATTTAAAAGAGAAATTTATTTAAAGAAACATCTTCAGACTCATAGCGCAGAAGAGCTAGCTGAATTTAATGTGTATAAGTCAGATCCTACGTTAAGAAAACCAACACCTTCTGATAATCAAAAACCATTTGGCTGTGAAATTTGTCAAAAAAGTTTTAATAGGGAAATCTATTTGAAGAAACATCTTCAGACTCATAGTGCATAGTAAATTTCTCAGTTTAATGCTCATAAATCAGATCCTATATTCAGTGAACCAACACCTTCTGATAATCATAGTTATTCCATTTTAGAATCATTGTCAGCAAATTAGGTTCTCATTTGAATATGTTTTGCAATACATTTGTGACATTTACAACACTTGTGACAGTTATTATAAGATATTTGATCAATTAATGATGGTATAAAAGTAAGATTCGATCTGGATTAGAAAAAAAGTTTTATACAACTCCAACTATTGATAGTTGGTAATAAAATTGGTGTAAAGTCTGAAGGGGCCCAGGTATTGCCATCGAGGGTGTCCCTTATCAGGTTGTTTGGTGCAAATTAATTAGATGTCTAAAATCTTAAAATATAATCTTAGTTAATTTGATAGAAAAAACATTGGTATTTTATTTGATTTGATCAAAGGTTTTAAGAAGATTGAGTTTTAAATTTTACTTATAAAATTAGTTCCGTAAATAATTGAGTTTCCTTTTCTCTATGAATAATAATTGAAAATTTGTTGAAGTACTTTCATTTTTTTCTAACTCTAAATTTTTAATATAAATGACAAAGTTGGCAAGTTTCTGCCAAGGTGGTTAAAACCACTGGTAGAAATCCTTTTCTGCCACATCTGCAGAAATTCAGAAAATGCGGAAAAGTAAGAACTGAGATTGACATACAATGAATAATTCATAGAAAAAAACAATTAAATGTTAAACAAAGTACAATTTATTTGCAAAACTATCACCATTCGAAATCAAATATTACATTGTTTGCACTCTGCTGTAATCTGTAATGAAAGACAAGTTTTCATGCAATTTCTAAACCTAAACAATTTCTGAATTTGCTATGCACAAACCAGAAATTTGTCCAGCCAAACTAGCAGGCATTGCCATCAAGGAACAAGCAAGATTTGTGAACTTTTCATCTATTGCATATTTTTTAAAACTGAACCACCATGTGCAGCTGGGGTAGTTGTCAAAACCTGACTGGAAAAATAAGTTTCATGAAATAGGGGCCGATTTGTTTTGCAAAGCTATGACATAAGGTACAAAATCTGAATTAATATTGGCAAGTAAAATTTTGGCACTTTCTTCTTGAGCACATGATAATTTCAATCCCAAATACTTTGGATGCAGCGTATAAGCTAGCAAATGATAATCAGTAACTGCCTGTTTAAATCTGTATGTCTCTTCTTTTTCATAAACAGCCATAAGATTCTCTTCCTTTGTTAGATTAATTTGAATATCACAAGCATCTGCAATAGAACAGTTCTCCTTCTGAACTAAATCAAGGGCAATAGCGATGGGTTTTATCTGTAGCAGTAGGTGTTTGACTACTTTGTAGATCATCTGATTATTTATGACCTGAACAATTCCTTTGTCATTGATATCATCTTCACGTTCTTCAAGTATCTGAAAATAATATTGCCAATTTTTTACAAATGATTCTAAGCAATCCACGTGACTATTCCACCCTGTATTACAAGGTAGATGTAGTTTCACAGCATTCGAATACTCCTTAAGCCGTGCTCCTGGCCTATGATGATTTCTTAAGTATTTTTGGACTGAAACCACATGTTTCATGATAGAATCTGGTGTGATATTCTGTCCAAGAAGGTTTAAATAATGGATAGAACACCCTAAGTTGTAATGGATGGCATTTTTTCGTGCATGATTGTTCTCATTAAATCCATTTTGTTTTCATAATCTGTTACCAAGGAAGAAGGAAGTAACTTTGCAGTCATATTTTGTCTCTAGTTCTGTTATTGCTGCTTTTGCTAACTAAGCACAATAAGTTGCATTTTTTTTCTTGCTTCCTGTAATTACAGAATTATGAAATATGCATTCAGAACCAGTGTGAATACAATTTGCAACAACTGGTTCATTGTGGATATTACTCCACTCATCTTGTATCAATGAAACCTTTTTACCACTGATTTTCTTTTCAAATTCTAACTGCAGCTGACTATGCACTTTGTCTAGATGTCCAGCCAACTGTTTTCGTTTGGGGGGTTTATAACCTGGTCTTAGTAAGTTGATCAGGTTTATTTTTATTTTTTTCCAATGCCCACCTGTGTTAACATCCGTCAATTCAGGCATATACAGGGCAATTTTGTTGGTCTCTCTTTCAGGGATACCATATTAGGTGGGCCAACGTCGCTCCCACAGTGAGGACCGATAGTACAGAGAAGGAAAGAACATTCATGCCTTGCCCGGGATTCGAACCCAGAACCTTTCTGATGCAAGGACAGTTCCCTGCCCCTACACAGGCCGTTCGGCAGTTTATTATGTTTATAAATGATGGATTTTCACTCATCAAGAAGGGAATGTTACAGCTGTAGAAAAACTTGGCAATTGCATCTTTTTCTCGTGAGTTTGTTTTCAGAATAAAATTACTCATACTACTTTGAATTCTGGAAGACCTAACTTCTGTAGAGACATTTTCTTTTAATTTCTTAGGAAGATAAGTTGAATTTTCTTGTTCTTCATCCCTTGATTCTTCCATAAGCTGTATGCCAGAAGCTTGATGGTGTTTATTGCAAATAGCACCATTTCACTTTTTTTGATTCATTCTATAAGGTTTTGCACTCACAGTTATTTTGCAATTATTGCATACTACTATTAATTTCATATTTATTTATTTCTGAGTAAAAAATCCCCATATATGGTCTATTGGCCTCAGGGTTCGCCAAGTGGGCCCACTTTGAAAAAACCCGCCCGGGTTTTATTGGGTGTGCCCACCTTGAAAAAACCCACTTGGAACAATAAGTGGGTTTTTTCAAAAAAAAAAATATTTTTTTTTTTACTAAAATTTATTGTTTTGCATAAATTATAATTTATTGTGCAGCATAAATTTGTCAAATAGAGTTGCATGATTTATATGATTAAGTTTTTATTATTAGTAAAGTAAAAGAAACTCGAATCTTCATATAATTTTATAGTAGGTACTATTGAAAACTTCAAGTGGGTTTTTTCAAAAAGTAATATTTTAATAATATTAAATCAAATACAAATTTAAATAATATGGTCTCAAAAGATCAATTTTTCAAATATAGTTGCATGCTTTATATATTAATAAACAGGTAATATAATACATACAGGTAATATAATAATATAATATATTAAAAAAAATTGAAAAGAAACAATTTTTTTCTTTTTTTACCAAGTGATACATTAACAAATTTAAACAGTTTTATTTTCTAGCTTAAGAAAAAAAAAAGCTAAAACTTTTTATAGGAGAACTTTTTAAAATTATTTATCTAAAAATGAAATCCTTTTCTAGGGTTAATTATTTGAAAACAAATGGGACAAGTAACTGATACTCTTTATAATTATACGTAGTTTTAATTTCACTTTCTATTAATCTTATTATAGAAACATGTAAGACCATTAAATATTTATTTCAGTTTTTTATTTAACTCAAGTCAGATGAAATTTTAGTTTTTACTGATTATAAATATTTACAGATTATAATTTTATAATGGGTAATATCCATATGTTTAATAAATATAGTAAATAAATGTGTGTGAAAACAAAAAGATTAATAAACTTGTTCCTTTTATATTACTGCATTTATATTTTATAATTCTTGAGTTAAAAAATTATGAAACGTAATGTACTTAAAAATAAAGAAGATTCAAATATGTATTAGTGATAATGCGTTATTTAAACTTAATATAAAATACATATAACCAGGGTTCCCCAAGTGGGCCCACTTTGAAAAAACCCACTTGGTGGTTTTTTTCACAAATTTTTTTTTTTTTTAAATTTGGTTCAAAAAGAAGTATCTCCTAATACTATCATTGGACACATCGTTGAAGTTAACAAATATTTTAGAAATGTGCATCAAGCACATGGATGGGCAAATGAAAAAAACTGCTTGATGACCCAATGATACTAGGTGGAATTCATATTGTGAGCACGTAAAAACTTTTGCCAATAATTACCATAAATATGAAGAGATTGTTCTTGAACATCAAAATGAATCTAATAATAATATGTCAAAAATATTAAATAATGTTGGGCTTTACCAATAAACTATCAATTGGGAAAAACAGATATCAATTGTTTCTTAAGCTTTAAAAAAGCTTCAATCAGAAAACATTTCAATTTCAGAAGCTGTTGAAATATGAATTAACTTACTATCGTGTGATGAATTAGAACCCCATACACATTTTGTAAAAAGATTCAATCAGGCTGTTCAGCCACATCATTTATTAGCATATGCATCCTGGATCCCGAAACAAGGGGACAATTTTTAAATGATGAACAAGACCAATTAGCAGAAAGCTGTCTTTCTAAGCATCATCCAGAATTTCTGCCACGTGTTATGGCATCCAAAATTTCCGATCCTGAATACTTTCCAAAATCAATGATGCTTGACACTGTTATTGAACAGTTTTCATCAAAAAATAGTGGAAAATTATGGCAAAAAAAATAAATAAATAAGTAAATAAATAAAATTCCTAGCTTCCACAAAATTTCTGTCAATTCTTTTTTCTTTGCACTCAGCACCAGCATCCTCTGTCTCTATCGAAAGACACTTTTCAACTTTCGGTTTGGTGCAGAGTAAACTTCGAAATAGATTAGGAATAGATAAAGCTACAAAACTCGTAAAAGTGTATCACCATCTAAGAGAGAAATGTAGACACTTTGAATCTGTTGTATGATAATAATAATAAAGGAAAAAATGGACCTTTTTTTTTAAGTTAACTCTTAACATCTGCTGACAATTTTTAACTATTTGGAGAAAGTTTATCACAATTAAAAAACAGTTAAAAATTAAAATATTACTTTTAAGATTTTTTAAATATTATTTTTATGATTTCATTTGAATACAATTTATTTTGTTTCTTTTAATCATGCTTAAAAATATTGAAAGCAAAAAAAAATTTTTTTTATTAAGTCATACATTAAACAACAATAAACAAATTCAAAGTTTTATTTTCTGATTTTAAAAAAATAAGCTATAACTTTTTATCTATGCTTTTTTATAATTTTA